GGGTGCCTGTGATGCGAAGCTGTGCGTTCGGCGTAAACGGCAGCCTCCGATCAAAGTGGGCAGCAGTCCATAAAAGCTTCCGCCCAATGTGTTAAGTGTTGGGTTTTTTAGGGTGCCATAGCCTCCTCTGTTGTTGATTTTTGTTGCCCATGGGGTGAATGTGAAGCCTCTCTTGGAAGTTAAAAAAAAGGCAGGGAAACCTTCTGCAAGCGGCGAAAGGTGCATGACAAGGATCTGCCTCTCTGCTTTCTTAATTTTTTGATTTGCCGTGCGAGCGAAAATTAAGCCACACGTGCCACGTCGTTGCCTCTTTTAAGAACACAGACACAAACAGACAGACGAAAACTGTGCCCAGACGACGGCGCACCCAGCTGTAAGCCTTCTCAGTGTCTGGTCTGTCAAAGAGTGCAAGACGGCGATCTGTCTGCCCTTGACACACACACACACACACACACACACACACACACACACAGAGAGAGAGAGAGAGAGAGTCTTGCTGCGAGGAGGCTGGTTCTTTTACATCACTGCAGCCTCTGGCGGACGAGCTGCGTCCGGATCGCTGGGTTCCCTTGGTGCATCCTTTGGTTTTAGGTTGTTCTGCTTACGTTGCGGTGAAACTGGTGTGTGCATCTGTGTCTTGAGTCACTTTTGTGAGTCATTGTTGCCTTGCTGCGGTGTCTGGTTTTTGTGTTCATCCAAGCTCAGATAAGCAGGCAGTAATTTTAGCAAGTGGCGCTCCCTGCTTTGATGTCGTTGAAGGCACGACTCTTCCAAAGTCTGAAGAATATTGCTCCCCAGACTGTAGGGGTGGGGAGGGGGGCATGCGCGCGCGCGTGTGTGTGCGTGCGTGCGCGCGCACACACCACACACACACACACACACACACACACACACACACACACACACACACCCCTCTCCCTCACCTTTCCCCCAGTTCTGGACTACGAGGCGGCTCCTAAGATGAATTAAAAACAGATTCAGGCTCAAAGTGCAATGCTTTATAAAACTAAAGCATGCTATTTAGTTATCCTATTAAAAGCAAGTGCCCAATGAAAACAACTGAAAAGCAGAACTGGACCCCAAAAAAATAAGAAAGAAAAAGAATGTAAATTTACAACACTCGCCATTAAAAGACACACATGCACCTCAGTAGCCAAAATATTTACTTGAATTTAAAAAAAAAACGGCCCGCCAGTTGAGATTGATGATAAACTAACTTCCCTTGGCTGGGAGTTTCACAGGCAAACAGCAGCCAAGTAGAAGGTCTTCTATTGTGTCCTTCCTATACAAGCCTGTAAGGGTAAAAATTATAGTATTCATGTGCTGTCAAGATAATTTTGACTTACAGTGACCCTTTTTCAGGGTTTTCCAGGTACAGAGTAGTGCATTACCATTCTCTTCCTCTAGGGGCGCTCTGGAACTCTGCAGCTGGCCCAAGGCTACCCAGGCTGTTTTTTCTCCCTGGAGGCAACAATGGGGAATCGAACTCCCAACCTAGACCCCTGAGCTATTCAGGGTAATAGGAAAGAGGTAAAGCCCTCCTCCAAAGATCTTAAGATCCTGGCAGCTTCTCTTCGCCAGCCTCCCGATAAATATAAATCTTTAATTTTTAAAAAAGAAGAATGACAGAAATCCACTCCTTCGTTAGTTTCTCTGCTGGAGTTTCTAGTTTCTTCCCCTTGTTTGACTTTCTCGGTTGCAAGCTTCGAACTGAGATGCTCTTTGTGGCAGGAGGGGGGGGACTTTCGTGAACAGCACCCTAAGCGTTAAACTCCAGCCCCGGAACAACGCAAGACTAAAAATAAAACTGAGCTTTACAAGTGACGAAAAAGTTTTGAGAAGCCCCAGGAAAAGTCGCTAGAGGAATCAAAACAATCCTTACGTTTGTTTAGGTTGCAGGTCAAAAATACACATCGTTGCGGTTAACCCAATACATTGAGTAGATAAACACTCCCTCTGGAAAAGCCCCATAGTTTTGTTCCTGAGATATGTGAGTCATGGACTCTGCTGGCTGATTTTCTGAGGTCCGCTTTTGCTAGGTAAAGCGAGAGAGACTTGATCAAAGCCTGAAACTTGTCTTTCTTGGAAGAATCCTTCAAGAGACAGCGTAAGCAATATACTGTATTTTTCTGTGTATTATACTTTTGTCTAAAATATTTAGAATAGAAATTGAGGGTAGTCTTATACCCAGAAGTAAGCTGAGGAGGGAACAAAAAAAAGTGAAGGGGAAAGCAGGGATCAAAGCGATCCTGCAGGGCTTTGATCCCTTTCTCCCTACACTTGCTAAGCCCCACTTAGATTTCTTTCTTTTGGGTTAGAAAAGTGGTGGGTGTCTTGTAGAAGGGGGCATCTTATACACAGAAAAATAAGAATGCAGGAGTGGTTCCTGCTTTCTTGTTCCTTAGTGTGAGGGCTGTCCAGGAACATGCCACTGAAATGACCGATGCCACCTTTTTGCTTGATTTCCTTGTGAAATCGGGGGCCAGATTCATGATATCGAACACAGAGCACTCATGGTAGGAGATCTGACCGGGTTGCTTTTGGAGTTAGTTGAATGTTGACCACAGATCTTGCAACAGAAACTTGGGGCAGGAATAAGAAACTTGGTTTCTCCTTGAAATACCCTATTTTCCTGAAAAGAAGACCTAACCTGAAAATAAGTCCTAGTAAGATTTTTCAGGATGCTCGTCATAGAAGCCCTACCCCCAAAATATGCCCCATTTAAGTGAAACCCTGCCCTCTACCCTTGGGCAGTAACCAGAAGATGACATGACTGTAATTGAATCAATGTAGATGATTGTACCTACGTTAGAAAAGTGGGGGTGTCTTGTACAAGGGGGCGTTTTATACACGGAAAAATAAGAATGCAGGAGTGGTTCCTGCTTTCTTGTTCCTTAGTGTGAGGGCCGTCCAGGAACATGCCACTGAAAGGAACGATGCCACCTCTTTGCTTGTTTTCCTTGTGAAATTGGGGGCCAGATCCATGATATTGGACACTGGCTGGGGGATTATGGGAGCTGTAATCCATAGAAGGATTGTACCTAAAAGAATAAATAAAACATCCCCTGAAAATACGTCCTAATGCGTTGTTTTGGAGCAAAAATTAATATAAGACCCTGTCTTATTTTCGGGGAAACACGTCCAGGAACATGCCACTGAAAGGAACGATGCCACCTCTTTGCTTGTTTTCCTTGTGAAATTGGGGGCCAGATCCATGATATTGGACACTGGCTGGGGGATTATGGGAGCTGTAATCCACAGCAAACATTTGGTAAGAGTTGTGGGTTCCCTCCTCCCGTACCTTGAGAAAGTGACATTTTTGGACATGTGCTCTGTGGCTGGGGGATTATGGGAGCTGTAATCCATAGAAGTCGTTTGCCTAAACTTTGGGCATCGAGGTGGGGGTGGGCCAAATGCTACTTGTCACCACCTCCTGCTCAGTGGCTTCCTTGCGAGTGTGTGTGTCTTGTTTGAGAACTGACTCCTAAGAAGCAACAGGACAAAATTGTCTCAAAAGCCTCTTGTCGTGATTGTGTTGGGTGTTTTTTTTTTCCTCTTGCTCCTTTTCTTTCTTGGGACACTTCAGCATGAAATGAGGAGCATGGGGCGATCCCCTGCGGCCCCTTCGGCTTCAGCTTAGCACCTGTCTTCCAGTGGGGAAGGGCAGCTGTTTCATTTTTGGCTGGCACAGCAGGAGTGAGCCAGGGCGGGGTGGGAGGGGCGCGTCTGTGTGAGGCAGCTCTTCCTTGCATTTTTGTGGAGGGCTTGGGTGTTCCTGTACCGCGTTCCTAACATGTGCGAGGCTGCGTCTTCCCACAAGGGATTCCTCCACACGATGTGGTTCTCTCTGTAGAGTGGCTTTGTGAGTTGGCGTGAGCGAAAGCGGCAGTCACGTGGAGAGGGGTTGAATTAAAGGCACGCTCCTCGTCAGAGCACCGACGTACATGGAACTTTCTCTGCCCCCACGGCTGTCTTGTGTTTGGGGTCAGCCCCTCTCCTCCCCACCCCTCCAAAAACTAGCCTTACGATCAGGGGATAAAGCACTCTCTGTGACTCCTCGGATGGGGTTCCCAGGTTTCGACGGGTTTCCGAGTGAAAATCTTGCACTTGTTGGAAAAGGGAGCTGCTTTCCATGACACCTTATACCAAACTGGACATCTTCAAGATGCCACAAAACTCTTGGGTTGGAATCCTCTTCGTTTCCACTTGGTATGCCACAAACCGTTGCCCATGCGCCTGTCCGTGCAACAGACGGAACCCAGCTGCTTCTTCAGAAGCGCCAGTTGGCGTGGTTCAGTGATCAGGAATTCTGGGAGTTGTAGTCCAAGAACATCCAGGCACTCTGGAGGAGGACTGATTCTTCCAGAATATTTTTTTTTAAAAAAAGAGAGAGATGAATGCCAGCTTTTAAAGAGTTTGGCAACTACTGTATTTTTCCATGTATAAGACGCCCCCATGTATAAGACCCCCCCACCTTTCTAATCCAAAATTAAGAAATCTAAGTGGGGCTTAGCAAGTGGAGGGGGAAGCAGGGATCAAAGCCCTGCAGAATCACTTTGATCCCTGCTTTCCCCTCCACTTGTTTTTGTTCTCAGCTTACTTCCGTGTATAAGACGACCCTCGATTTTTATTCTAAAGATTTCAGACAAAAGTATAGTCTTATACACGGTAAAAGCCAGTAGTTCTGCCTGTGTTTAGATGTTTTAAACATGGACACACATCCCTTGCCACCAAACTGCGGATGAACGGCCAAATATACCCACACATGCTTCCTTAGAGCTGGCATGAGGGAACTGGTGGCCCTCTCTTCTTGGGGGGGGGTCATCCAGGAAAGCTTCCTAGGGGGGAAGCCCCTTGACCTTCTCTAAAACGGCTTGAAATCTGACATCGAGGAAAAGAAAAATGTCTTGTGTGTTTCTGTGGATTCTACCAATGTCATCCATGGTCATCTTTGTGGTCCCTAACGATGGTTTTTTCCTTTCTTTCTTTTCTTCCTCCAGTTCTATGAAAGTCCCTCATTAACCATGACGGGGGTGTTGAAAAGAAAATATGACGAACTGGAAGATGATGCCCCGTACTCCTCTTCCTCATCCTGCTCCCCTTTCTCCTCCTCGGCCTCCTCTGCTTCTTCAGGGTGGGAATCGGATGAGGAAAACTCGCACGGAGCAGGAGGGATCAAGCCCAGCTTGGCCTTAAACTCCGACTTCACACGTAAGTATTTATTTATTTTTATGTTCAACTATATGGCCTTCGCGCCTTCCTAGGCAGTTTGGATGGCATTTTCTGATTCCTTGTAGTACAAGTCCCATTGTTCTCCGTTCTGTGAGTTCCACTTAACAGAGACACACACACCTGACCGCCACCTAAATGTGGCTCATCTCAAAGAAAAAGGCTTAAAAGTGGAAGGTTTTCAGGTTTAGCTAGGCCTAGCTTCCTGTTCAGGAAAAAAAAAACTCCCAGTGAGCACTGGGGCAGGAACTAGAAGCATAGGGGGTGCTAGGCCGAGCTGCACCTCAAAGCCTTCCATTTTGGGTCCTGTTCTCCCAAGTGAACCACATTTAAGTGTCTGCAAACCAGGAAGAACGCCCAGAATGAGGAATTATGGGATTTTTACTAAAAGAAATCAAAAAATCTTATCCCTAGTATGGCTTCCCCCAAAGTTACATTTTCCCCCCTTTTAATAACAAAACCTGGTGGGGTAGATGAAGCGCCAAGTCTGTGATTAGCCCTTTGGGTGCCAGTGGGTGTCATGGCTACGTGGGGATTTGAACCCTCGTCCTCGCTATCCCTGTTGGCGTCTCTAACCACTGTACTGTACAGTCACACTTTCCAGCTTCATACCGGCACAGTTTGTCTTGGTGATGCTCCCAGGTCGTGAGAATATATAAACCGGGACATGAAGTTGTGTGTTTTTTAAAAATACGTTTTAAAAAAGTCATAAATACTCCAGATGGATTTAATTTGGTGATGCGAGGGACTTAGGCAAGGCGAGAAAAGTTGTCCTCAGCTGAAAGAGATGATGGACAGGGGGTCTCTGAGGAACAGGAAGGTGTTGATTTGCATTAAATGCTGTTTGCATACTGTCTTTCATGCAAATGAGCTGTGGAGTATTAGTTTGCCAGAGAGTAAAGATCATTGATGAGTTTGCACTCGGAATGATGAATGTCGCCTTCTTCAGACATTACTTCTTGTTGGCTTGAGTGGATAGTGTCTTAATTGTGAGAGCCGTGATTAATTCTTCTGTTCAAACGCTTCTAAAATAAGCAGTTACAGACTGACGAACTATCTTTAGACTCTCTCTCTCTCTCTCTCTCTCTCTCTCTCTCTCTGTGTGTGTGTGTGTGTGTGTGTGTGTGTTTTAACGCCTCAGTGAATAAAAGTAGAATCTTTTCATGGACAATCCAGTTTACTCAGCCAAGGATACACAGGGTGCGAAATTCACATTTTTTAACTTGCGCTCTGCTGAGGTCTCTGAAGTTCTTCACGGTCTTACAGCTACATCCTGCAGAAATAACCATCTGCTGCTCTTCTAACGAAGGGTGATAGTTTTAATCACTCCATCTTGTTCCAGACTTCTGGGAATATTTTGTTTCTCAGGTCCACTTAGCAAACTGTGCAAACCTGCTGCAGCTTCAGAATGCTGTCGGAAGAACGGGAACAACAAAGAGTCTTTCTCTGGCTTTTGTGCCGGAACAATGAACTTTCTGTGTTTGGTGGCTGAGCCTGGTTGGGGGGGGGGGAGGCCTTGCAAACAGTCCGAGGGAAGAGGAATGACTGCAGGCGCTGAAGTATAATGATGAGGCTGATGACCACAACAATAACAAAGAGTTAACTTGCTGTTTCCTTCCACCACTCTCCAGAAATGATTATCCATTTTGAATTTCTTGAGCAAAAGCTTAGCAGAGGTTTTCCCCTACTGTTGGAAGTACAGTGGTGCCTCGCTAGACGATGATAATCCGTTCCACTGAAATCGCTGTTTAGCGAAATCATTGTCTAGCGAAAAGCATTTCCCCATTGGAATGCATTGCAACCTGTTTAATGCGTTCCAATGGGGAAGAATCATCGTTGTCTAGCGAAGATCGGCCATAGGAAAGACGCTTTGCAAACCGCCGATCAGCTGTTTAAATAGCTGTCTGCGAAGCTTAGATCCCAAAAACACCCGTTTTGTGAGTGCAGAGGGAGCTGTCAAAATCGTCGTCTAGCGAAAACTGGTTTGCGAAGCGGGGACCAAACATTGTCCAGCGAAATTCCCCCATAGGAATCCCTGTTTTGCAAATCGCTATAGCGATTGCAAAAAGTCAATGTCTAGAGAAAAAACTGTCATGCGGGGTAACTGTCTAGCGAGGCGCCACTGTAGGGGACTTCTCAGTAGCTGGTGGAAATCCAAGTGGTCATTCAGGTGTGAATGACCGCTTGGCGGTCATTCTTGAACGACCAAGAATGGTCATTGTCCTGTTCATTAGAGGTGCAGGATCTTCGGTGGGTCTGCAGTAATCGCCGATCCTGACAGCCGTTACAGGCACCTTTACTCTGCGGGCGGGGTGATGCTGCAAGAAGTGTTTGGACAGAAATGCAGACGTCAGACCTTCCTGAACCCCCCAGTAGAGGAGTTTGGGGGCTCAGGGAATAACCCCGCTGTCGTGTCATCTCCATGCCATTGACTTGGGTCTTCGTTTCCTTCGTGAAAAATAACCTGATTTCTTCTCGTTGATTCGTCTGTTTTGCTTTGAACCGCTCCATTTCGGTTTTTCAACACACATGGCAAGATTAAACGCCGAAAACTTCACAGTCGTTCAAACTGTGTAAGCGTTGCATACAAACTTAGGTCTCTGTCAGCAGTATTGCTGATGAGGAACTTTTTTTTCTGCATGTGAAGGATCAAGGTGATAGTACCTTAAAACGCTAAGCTTGCCATCTCGCCAGAGCAGACCCTCTTTGAGGAGGGAGGGGAGAACGGGGACTGGAAACTGGTCACTATAGATACTGCATTTTTAATCCTCTGCTTGCTGACTCCATAGCAGCTGTTGCGTGTTTTTTTTTTTCCTTCCCATCTCCCCAGAGAGGCCCGGGCCTCATTATTTAATATAAGGAAGAGTTGTGCCAATTTTAAGTAAATGGATTCCAGATCGATCTGGCTAAACCAGCACAAACATGTATCACAGATGTACTTAGATTGGTTTGACCCCTGCATATCTCTCCGTTTAATGGAATTCTGCAAATTGCCATCTTAAGCTAAACTGCTGGAAGCTAAGCAGGAACCATTATTCATAGGAGGGAGAGAGAGAGAGAGAGAGAGCGCGCCAGCCGGGTGTGCTTCGGAGTGTGTGTTTCGGCCAAATTATTTTGCTCGCTTTAGAAATGCAGCGGCCCATGCCGACTGCATGGAGGAAGCACCGGATCTTTTCATGGGGGTGTAATTGAAATAAATAGATCAGAGCGGAGGGCTGCATAGGCGCAGGCCCTCTGATGTCTGCATGTTATGGCGACGTGCAGCTAATTTGCATGCAATTTGCATAACCACCGCAGGTGTCAAGGCACAGCTGGTGGGCATGATGGGTTTACTTTGTGATTGTTGTTCTGGAATTCACAGTCCCAAACAAGGACACGAAGCCTAAGATGACTGAAGTAGGGCATAACAACGATGCTTGGTTGAATCTCTTTGGATTCCTGTTCCTGTATTTTTTGTGTATGAGACCTGACTGAGCATTCAACTTCTATCCGTCCGTCCGTCCGTCCATCCATCTATCCATCTATCCATCCCTCTATCCCTCTATCTATCCCTCTATCTATCCCTCTATCTATCCCTCTATCTATCCCTCTATCTATCCCTCTATCTATCCCTCTATCTATCCCTCTATCTATCCCTCTATCTATCCCTCTATCTATCCCTCTATCTATCCCTCTATCTATCCCTCTATCTATCCCTCTATCTATCCCTCTATCTATCCCTCTATCTATCCCTCTGTCTGTCTGTCTGTCTATCTGTCTATCTATCTATCTATCTAGCCTCATTTTTTTGTTACTGATTTTTTTCGGCTGGCGTGGCTAATTCTAGGGCAGTGGTTCCCCACCTTGGGTCCCCAGATGTTGTTAGACTAAAAGTCCCAGAAGCCTTTTCACTGCTTAGTGGGGCTGGCCAGGATTTCTGGGACTTGTAGTCCAAGAACATCTGGGGAACCCAAGGTTGGGAATCAGGCGATTCCCAGTTTGGGAATTTTTTTTTTTTTTTTTTTGCCATGTTCATGGGGAGGTGAAATTTGAACCCAGGTCTTCCCTGCATTCACTTTGCACACTCGGCTGGTTCCAGAGCTGCAAAGCCATCTGTGCAGTGGTTGAACAGTTGTTGTTCACATGGGCTTGACACGTTTTCTGCCAAACTGTTTTGAAACCGAACCCCAAACCTTCCAACGTCTCTCTTTTGCAGACGGCTTTGCTGCCCCGTCTCTCCGTCTTCCTCGATGCACCTGCATCGTTTGAAAGTCTCTCTCTTGGCAGCTTATTTTAAGCTTGCACAAGCCGAGAGAGGAAGCACCTGAGGGCGAGGGAGCAAGGTTAAGGCATTAAACTTTTCTGTTGCGGCAGGCAGTTTTAAGATCAACCCCCGGCACTTGAGCTGGCCCCGTGTTTACGCTGGGATCACCTGCATCAAGATTAACTGCTCTGCAGCTGCTCTCCGATTAGTCCCCGGAGAATCAGCCATGGATTTACGGTTCCTCCCAGCGGACGGCAAAGGAAATGTCATCAAAGCAGCTGTTTTGATTCTCCCTCCCTCCCTCCCTCTCCCCCTCCGTTGCAAGCTGCAGCAACAAAACTATTTGGGTGTCTTGTGTTTTCAGACGGTTAAAGTAACGGGCAATGAATGTTTCATGTTCCTCGGTTGCTAGCTGGGACAACAACTTTCTTTGGGAAAAATCACGAGCCCGGCAGGCACGCTGGGACATGCACCGATGCCTTGTAGAATGAACTGATCAGAAGCACAAACCACCACCCCCCTTGCACATGTGAGATTGTGTCTGTCTCCAGGCTGAAATCGGAGCCGGCCCAAATCTATAGCAGGAGGCCACGTGACGTGGCCCTCTAGGGGACTGGCTGTAAGGCTTCAGGATGGCACGTGGGTTGGGAGAGGAGGAGGAGGAGGAGGTGCCTCCGGAGGTGGGGGAGAGAGTCCCGAGCGAGCGGAAAAACGTGAGCCGGCTTTAGACGTCCGTCTGATCTGGCAGCTTGGCCAGGAGGTGGTGGTGCTTTCGAGCCTCCCCGGTTGGGGAGGGCCATAACGGCAGGCGAACAACAAATGACCTTGCAAGGGTGTGGGAAAGGTTGCGGAGAGTGAATCTGAAAAAATCCTTTGAAAACCCAAAGATTAACAGAAATGCTAAATGTGTGAGGTTTTATGTGTAAATACAGCTACTCTGGTAAAAGAAATGGAGGGAGGCTGAGCCCCACCATGGAGGTGAATTAACAAAGCAAATGTGTGCAGGAAGTCTCTCTCTCTCTCTCTCCCTCTCTCTCTCATATTTTGCCTCCGTCCTTTCCCTCTCAGCCTGAGTTGCTCGAACATGTTGTGAGTCAAATGGGAGGGGAGTTTCTCCTTTAAGATGAAAGAGGGAAGGACACGCAAACCTTCTCCACGGTGTTTACATTCCTTTGGCAGAAGGTTTCCAGTGCTTTCCAAAAATGTGACTGGCTTGTTAAGCAAACTTAAGCAAATAAGGCTTGTTTAGGGTATGCTTTTGATTGCAGGGCTGTGGTTTGCCTTGGTATGGTGTTATAGGTTGGGCATTTTCCTTCGCGCAGCGCTGTTGATCTTGCACACACACAAAAAGGGATTGTATTTTCATTTGCCCCTCATAGGTGACAATTTACGCCACAACTGGACATAGAAAATGTACTGTTTTGGAACGATGGCAGCAGACTGTGCTAGCTGAGGGGTTCTGGGAGTACTTGCAGAAAGTAACTTCCCCAGGCCAGACTTGCTAAGAAAATAGAACATGCTTGAGAGGATGATTTTCTGCTTGTGGGTGTTCCTTGAAACTAGTTTTGGCAGCGTTAGGCATCGGGTTAGAAAATGAAAAATTTCTGGGGGGAAAAAATCTGAAAACGTTTCACTTCCTTTTATTTCTCCCCTGACGGCTGGAAAAGTAAGTTTCTAGTCCTCATGAGTGCAGAGGAGAATGAAAACGGAACAGTGGAGGTGCACCTTCCAAAATGGGCCTAATGCCGCATGATCGTGCCATGGATTATATGGCTCACATATCTGAATAATCTTAGAACTGCAGAGCAGGAAGGGACCCTGTAAGAATGATCTTTGAGTCCTGCTCCTGTCATGGAAGTCCAGTGGAGGAATCGAACTCCCTGCCTAAATCGCTGAGCTATCCAGAATGAAGGGTAATGATCGGTGTTTTACCTCCTTTATGTTTTTTTTTCCTCCCCCCCCCCAGCAACCTCCATCCTGAAGAGGAGCAAGCGGTTAAAACGGAACAACGTGGAGTTTGACCGGGTCACCGTGTTCTACTTCCCGCGTTGCCAGGGATTTACCAGCGTGCCGAGCCGTGGGGGCTGCACCCTCGGCATGGTGAGCAAACACGGCTTCTCCCGAGAGTTCACGCTGGCGGAGTTTTCCAAGGAACAGGAGATGGTTCGACGGGAGAAACTCAAGGAGCGCCTGAAAGAGGAGAAACTGGAAGCCTTGAAGTGGAAGGTAAGAGGCCGGGCATCAACTTTGCACGTGCAGTCTCCAGTTTAAATAGCGAAATAATAAAATAAAATAAAAAGCATTGAAAGCCAGTGTGGGATAGTGGTCAGGGTCAGAAGATTGGGGTTCGAAACCAAATTTGAATGAGCCTGAAACCTGTTATTGGAACGGCCACTCGGCCAATAAACCCTTCCCAGGTAGGGATCCTTGAGAAGAGCTATACAATAGTGCCCATCGCCCCCAGACAAAATGGCCGTTTTGGGCGGAGAACAATGGGATTTGTCTTCTGAGCCACCTGGAACGTGCCAGGTTGAAGAAGCCCGGGCAATTATACCCATGTGGCTGTGCCTACTCTTTTCTCAAGTCTTGGAGAAGCTGCTTTGGGGTCTGCCAGTGAAGACAACCCGCCTGATAGGTGTGAAAGGCAGGGCCTTTTCTGTGGTGGCCCCACTCCTTTGGGATTTTGTCACCCGAGAATTTGGTTTGGCCACCTGCTCTTAGTTGCCCACTTGTGCTTACAGCTAAGCTGGGATTTGAACTCTGTGTCAGATCCAACACACAGTGGCTCAAATCCAGTTACGTAAACAGAGTAACGTGCAGGAGTGAATTGTTGCAAGTTAAGGAACCTCCACATACCTCTGTGTGCAACAGTATCATATCTGTAGAGATTTCTTAATTTGCAGCCGTTAGAAGTTACACCATTTGCTTAACTGCACCAGAGGATTTGAGCCAATTTGTTAACTTCAAGAGATCTCTTACAAGACAAGGGGACCTCAAGATGGTCTTGTCTTTGGTCCTTCTGCCTCCTTTCTAACCAGAGTGTCCGGTGCATGTCTTTCGACACAGCTAACCATGAACGGTACGAAAGTGTCTGAGGAGGCCAACCAGCTGACCCTCGACGACATCTCGGACGACGACGTTGAGGCCGGTGGAGCCGAACTGGAAGACGGCTTCTTCCTCCAGCCCTACCCAGCCAAGAAGAGGCGAGCGCTGCTCAAGGCCATGGGCGTCAAGAAGATCGACAAAGAGGAGAAGCGGGAGCTACACAGCATCCGCCTCTCCCGGGAGGATTGTGGCTGCGACTGCCAGGAGTTCTGTGACCCGGAAACCTGCAGCTGTAGCTTGGCAGGGATCAAATGCCAGGTGAGATGCCTTCTCTTTCACTGGTGTTTGTTTGTTTGTTTGTTTTTGGCGAGGGCTTTTGCAGGCTTGTGGAGAACCAGCCACGGATCGGCGAGACCCAGGGGGACGTTCCTTTCAATGGGAGTCTCCCATTGGGTTCCGGTGTGGATTTTAACAACTGGGTCAAAGTAGTCCTGCACTGAGCCGGGGGGTTGGATTCAATGGCCTTATAGGCCCCTTCCGACTCATTTATTCTAGGATTTTCTAGGAAGAGGTTTTCAGAAGGATTGTGGGAGCTGTCTTCTTGGCGGGGGTGAACCTCAGCCCAAACTTTGCCAAGTTCCAAGGTCACGAGAGCAGCAAGAGCAGTGGCTTCTGTGGCCCTGTTCGTTGAGTGTCTCTGCGGCCTTTGATTGGTTGGGGCAGGAAATGAGTGGCTGGTCTAGATTGATCTCTGGGCGGATCCAGCAGGGCTCTGCGTAAATTCTAGGTCCTACCCACATCAGATTTCTTACTCCAACTAACATTGTTTTGCCTGAATTTATTTTTAATCTTAATGTTCCTTCTTCCTGGCTGCTTGTAGCACTCAACTTTGTATGGGTTGGAAAACAAAAAGAATTACATTTGGCCCTGCATGCTATAGGATATCTCTCATCTGGTTCTGCCCGTTTCTCAGAATCCAGTCTCCAGATTTATGTATTTATTTATTGAACATATTTTTACCCTGACTTTCAACTTAAAAGGACCCAAGATGGCTAAGAACTTGGCCCTAGGTTGAAAAGAAGTCCCTACCCTGTTGAGATTAAATACCAGTGGCTGCTGCATACAGTTTTTAAAATCAATGACTGATTCACACATGCCTGTCCGGTGCTTGCTGGCTTTAAAGTGGTCATGTGTATGGGGAATGAACTATGGCACTGAATTTGACACAAGCAAATGATGACTGTGTTTGGCTGGAGTCAGGGAGTGATGAGCTACAACTTCAGAACATTTGTATGAGATTGGCCAATAGTGACCTGTAAGCTAAAAGCAACATAACTCCGCTAGTTGCTGAGATCCAGTTTGTGCAGTTGTTCCCACAGAAGGCTAATTAAGTTGTTAGTGGGGAGGGGGAAGTTTCAGAACTTAAGTAATTAAAAACTTCCTGTTTTTGTACCATGGCTCCCACAGCTCATCATTTGGAAGCTGTGAGAGCCACTAGACAGGAAGAGGAAGTCTTTTAATTGCTGAAAAATACCCCCTGCTACGGGCAGTGATTTTTGGTAAAGATTTCCTACTCCTGTCCTGTGGCTCCAATGGCCTTCACACTTTTATTTCCTAAAACAACTCTCTCCTGATGATGTTATCGGCCCCATTCAGGTGTTGTAAAACCAACATTGTTTGTTAAAAAGTTGTTTCAAAACATCCAGAAGGTCGACTTGGCATGACTGACTTTTGTACCTCTTCTGACAGATGGATCATACATCATTTCCTTGCGGTTGCACGAAAGACGGTTGCGGAAACACGGAAGGGAGAATCGAGTTCAACCAAGCCCGGGTGCAGACGCACTTCATCCACACCATCATGAAGCTGGAACTGGAAAAGAGCCAGCAGAACAACGAAAGGAGCCTTGAACCCGAGCCACCCTTCAGGGACCGGCTCCACCCGTTTGGGTGTCCGATGGGCAAGGCAGCCTTCGAGGAACGGACTGTGCCCCTCACGCCGGCCTTCCAGTTTGCCCCGGACCTGGAAACCGTGGGGGAGAACAGCTGCAGCAGTGACATGACGGACTCCTCCTCGTCCTCCGGTCAGAGCGAGGATTTGGAGGAACCGTACGAGGCCGCCCCGTCCGAGAAGTCTCAGTCGGACGTTGACGACGACGGCTTGGCCCGCATCCTCCATTTCAACGACTCCGACGTGGAGGAAGACGACAGCAGTGCCGCCAGCAGCTGCCAGGACAACTTGAGTTCTTACCACCCGACGGGCTTCTTCAGCGTGGATGTGGAGAACCAGTGCGCGCCCATCGGTACCGAGAAGATGGATGCCGGCGGCGGTTTGAGCCATTTGCCGAACATCACAGAGTGTTTGGATGAGAACGCCAACCAGGAGGCGAGCTGTTTTCTGGAGGATGGCTCCCTGGGAGCGTTGGGTGGGGGAGTTTCTTCCAGCGCCCCGTCGCCTTCTCCCGAACCGTGCTCCAAGAGCTACATGGACCTCAGCCTTTCCTCAGACTCTCTGGATTTTTTCCAGTCTTTCTCAGACTACAACCTGGGACCTCTTTATAATTCCTTGAAAGAGTATGAGAACCTGGACAACTTTTCGGCCCTCCAGCTTCAGTTGCCAAATTTCCCCACTTTGCCCCAGGCTGGAGATCAGAGCGTCTGCTTTCTAGAGTCTCTCATTGGGTTGTCAGAGTCTGTCCCCGAAACCTCTGCACCTTTCACAGACAATCAGCTTCTGGAAGATGCCATAAAGTCGTCGCTAATGGAGACGGTGAAGGTTTAATCGTGGCCGCCGTTGTTTTCCGAGAGAAAGCAATGGGAAACTCTACTGGAACTGAAAACTGTTCACGAACCAGCAGCGCTTCTTGCACAAGAAGACTGCGGAGTTCTTTCTAATTAATTTTCTCCCCTTTTTGGGGGGGCACTGTGGCAGGGGGAGGGACAAGCTGCAGCTACAATCAGTTTTCTTAGTGCTTGGGCAAAGACTCTTGGCGTTTGGATGGCACGGATGAAGAACACAGACGGTGACATTCGTAAATCAACCCGCCTTTGACCTGCATTTTGTACGAGAAGGCAGGGATGTGCTTGTGAAGAAAGTTGTCTTCAAACACAGTGGGTCATCCCCAGAGCACCTTCTGCAAACATTTTCCAAGGACAGCAGACCATTTTCCTCCAGACAACTTTGGGAAGTCTAGATGTGTAATTATATTTATGGTGAAAAAATGATTTGTTCAAGAGCCATCTCTTTGATCCATGGGAAAACGTTTACAGAAAAAAGAGCCCATACACTATTAGCTACATTTTTTCCTCCCCATTCTATTTATTGCAAAATTCCAATTTTAAATCGCCGCCAAAGCTTGAACTGAGCATGGAATCTTATTTAATTTAGTCATACCTCAGATGTATTATGTATACAATCATCTTTTTTTGCATAATATATCTGTATTTATTTATTTGTTACCTTTTTGTACCTTAGTAGTACTGGGGATTGCCATGAACCTTAAGCTGAAGTAAGCCTTTGGTACCCCGGGCCTTAAGGAGTGTGTTTTGTGTTGAATGTCCTTTTCCTCCCTTTTTTCTATTTGATAAAACACAAAGGAAGCGTTTACTTTCCAGGCAGTCGAATGCCTTTTCTGGGTTGGATTTAATACATCGTTCAATTTAGAGTAGCCCCACTGAAATCCTTGGGACTTGGCATTAGTCACATCTAACTTAACGGTTCCATTCATGACAGTGCCTGGATCCAACCCAGTATCTTTTGCATAAGCCATGTATCTACACTACAAACTTAAAATCCCATTTCACTCTCTTGGATTCTTCAAGGGACCCTTGGCAATTGTGTAATTTTAAAGGAAAATGCTTGGGAGATTCTCCCCAGCTTTTTCCCCTACTACCAGGGGGCCTTGGAGGTTAATGCAGATATGAGCCATGGTTGAGTGTTGTGCACAGATTCAGGGTTGTGTTGTCTTTGTAAGAACTATCCCATGTGTTGCTTGGTTACACTTACAGGAAGAGACAGTACGGATTAGGGAGTTGGAGTAGCCACAACTACACACCTGAGAAGGTTACTTATCTCTTAAGAGAGCATTGGGAGACGTGGAAGTTACGGGTGCCTGGTGCACCAAAAATTGTAGTAGAGCAAACAAATTACTTGCTTATTCATCCTGACAGCTCTCCGTCTGCAGAGCTCCCATGTTTTCCTATGAAGAGAGAGGTTGCATGTTGCTACTGTTTAAGAAGGAAATATATATATTTACACCTGCAATCTTGAGTAAGACTTATGTGTGATGTCCATAATTCCCCCTATGGACAAGTTAAGAAACTCTTTACTTGTCCATAGAAGCAGAGAGAGAGAGAGAAAAGAAGAGTATGAAATATTTAAGGAAGAAATTAAATTGTGTTGTAAATTATTTTCTAATTTATTTAATTTACTTAAGGATTTGGCCATGATTTCTTTACACAGCAGATCTGATCTATTTTTATGGTGCCAGAACATATGGAAGAACCAAGGCTGCAGTTTTCTGAGGACTTTTTAGCCTTTGGAAAAGGCAGAACAAATGCTAATTTAAAAAAGAGAAAAAAACACTGTGTTCAGGTGGCTTTTACTGGGAGTCTATACTCATCAGCTCATGCTGCAGCACAAATGCACCAGCTGTTGTTAGTGGTAGAAAATCCAAGGGTCTGTATACCCAGTGCACCCCTGCAGTGTTGTGCCTCTTTATTTCCTCCTAAATGGTACCTCCCCCCCTCTCCCCGAGATGGTATCCAAGTGAGATACAGCCTGGTTTGCTCAAACGAGATGACATATTATCTGGAGCAGTTGCACCCTTGGTAGTTTTGGGAAGGTGCGGAAGCAGGTTTGATTTTATTTTGAGTCAGAATGAGAAACTGGCCAAAGCCAAGTTAGTTGTACAACTTCTGTAAGGAACCTACCGTCAGCAATAAAGAGGAAAAGAAAAGCATCATGAACCTTGATTATTTTTTTCTATTTTATTGTTATTCTTGCTAAAGGATTCCCCAGACCTACATCAGAACAGGAATAATTTGGAAGTGTCTTTTAAAAGAGCATCTAGGTGCTCCCTTCTACAGTGGTGTCCCGCATAGCGATGTTAATCCGTTCTGGATTAATCGTCGCTATCCGGAAACATCGCTATACGGATAGGAAAACCCCATAGGAACGCATTAAACTCCATTTAATGCCTTCCTATGAGGCGAAAACTCACAGTTGAGCGAAGATCCTCTGTAGTGCTGCCATTTTTGTCGCCTCGGTAAGCGAGGGCAGTGTGCGAAAATGCTTGCGGTGGCCATTTTGGTTACCCAGCGGCCATTTTGGAACCGCCAATCAGCTGTTCTAAAAACATCGCAATGTGATGTTTTCCCTATCTAAACATCCATTATGCAAGGCACCACTATACTTCCAAAACAGATTCGTTGTTAATCGGTGCGCTCGTTATGCAAGGCACCACTATTGTTATGCAGATTCGTTGTTAAACGGTGCGCTCATTATGCAAGGCACCACTATACTTCCAAAGTAGAGATAGAGCGTCTTCACCTCCAGAACGAATTTGGCCCATTTGAAATTTCCTGCCAACACAGTTTCCTGAAGCTTTAATGAGTCAAGTCAATGATTCGGGCCAAATATTCTTGCAAACTAAATGTGTCTTGCTTTGTATCTTAGCAGATATTTTATTCTTGTCTGAATAAAAGCAGTTGTCCTTAATGCACCAAAAATGCATTTTCCCTCCACTTGAAAAGTCCAAAACGAGGGAGGCGATTGTTAACTTGATCAGCATTTCTGTTTTCAGCCGTCTTTTTTGTTCGATTAAACATTTTGGCCTGATTTGTATGTCCTGCACAAGATTTAGGTTGGTTACAAAAGTCTGGCTTGTAGAGTTTTCCCGTTTGCATCACAGCATTTTGTTAACCGAGACCATTGGCATTCTGGCCTCTCTTGAGATTACACGCCCTGCACTTTGACCTCGAGCGATCTACAAAGCAGCCAGCGTTTGTTCTTCTCATATCGTTTTGGAAAGACTTTGCCCCTGGATGCAGTCTATGCAAAAAAAAAAGTTTTTTAAAGGGGTAACCCTACAATGGGCCATTTTAAAAAAAATAAAATAATGTATTTAACTTTAAATAATACAAATATATATCTCAATTTTTTTTAATTTAATTGGTGGGATTTTTTTTTAATGGCTTCTATTAAATGATTGCTTTATTAATGGTTTTTGGTACCTTTTTTTGGCACTAAAGTGACAATAATTTTAGAACATTCCTCTCCTGTCTAATATGTCATTTTGTAATGAATGTTGGGAGAATAAGGGGTTTTTAAAAAAACCTCTCCTTCCTTCATAGATGTCCCTCTTCCTCTAATTTATTCACTTTATTTTGTGTTGCGGCCAACCCTTCCTCTCACCTTAGGGTGCACTGACTGTAAATAGACATCTGTTTCCTCTTTCTGTACCATGTAAAAAATTTTGCCTCTTCAAGCAGTTTTTCTTTAAAACAAAAACAAAAAAAACTTGGGTATTTATTGATACAATCTGTAATAATCTAATGTATTGATTGAAACATTTTGGTTGCGGCGGCTTTGTGTTCGCTTTCTCTGTGTATATATTGTGCTTACTTTGCTTAATGGTACAAGTTAAAAATGCATATATTTTGACCTCTTTCCCCCGCCCTCCTCTGTTTTCATTGATAGCAAAAAAACAAAACAAAAATCAAAGAAAAAAGCATTAGCTGACTACAAGCTGCTGTCTCTCATTTTGTCCAAGCAATATGAAGAAAATTTCATTATGCTTTCAATAATAATAATAATAATAAAAACTTTTGCTTTGGAATATAACCAGGTCTCTGTCTCCTTAATCTGGAGGGTGGAGGATAAGTGGAGGTTCATGAAAATTAAACTCAAGCCCAGTGGGAAAGCTTTTCGATCCATTCCTGAGGTTGCTGTGGAGAACATTCATATGTTCAAAACATCCTTTCTTTATTCCCAACTCCCTTCTGGGTGCCAACCTGTGCCTGATTCGTGCCTCAAAAACCTTGATTGGGAACAAAATCTTGATGGGATCTACAACTATCATGCCTATGAGACTGCAGTATATATCAATTTGTTGTCGTTTAGTCATGTCTGACTCTTCGTGACCCCCATGGACCAGAGCATGCCAGGCCCTCCTGTCTTCCACTGCTTCCCGGAGTTGGGTCAGATTCATGTTGGTCGCTTTGATAACCCTGTCCAACCATCTTGTCCTCTGTCATCCCCTTCTCTCCTCTTGCCTTCACACTTTGCCAACATGAGGGTCTTTTCCAGGGAGTCTTCTCTTCTCATGAGATGGCCAAAGTCTTGGAGCCTCAGCTTCAGGATCTGTCCTTCCATTGAGCACTCAGGGTTGATTTCCTTCAGAACGGATTGGTTTGTTCTCCTTGCAGTCCAGGGGACTCTCAAGAGTCTCCTCCACCACCACAGTTCAAAAGCATCAATTCTTATACAGCGATGCATCGCAAGACGAATACCTCACGCAACGAAAAACTCGCAAGACGGAAGTGTTTGTTATTTATTTATTTATTTATTTAGGTGACAAGCAAGACACATTTTCCTATGGCCATGCTTCGTAAGATTATTCCCCCCCCCTTTTTTTGGTTTGTTTTAAATCACACAACCCTTAGTACCGCGCTTCGCAAGATGAAAATTTTGCAATACGAGATGACTCGCGAAACGAATTAATTTCGTCTTGCAGTGCATCGCTGTATATATCACTACCCAGTTTTAAAATCGGCATGCTGTTCTTACTTAAAATGGAACTTTGTATGGCCAGGAATAACTTGTTTATCCTGAGTCTGTTCCTAAATGCAGACAGGCTGCTCCCTTAACCTTCAAAAAGAACATGGCCCGCTATCTTGAGAGTCAGTCTAGCTGTCATTGAGGCTGACGAGCGAGGCTTCCTCTTGGGCCTCAGAATGGCCTCTTTCCCAATTCTACCTGGAGATGCTTGAAAGCAGACCTCCATCCTACATGCCAGAACCTCCTTGCAGCTTGGGAAGGTTGTGGGATTTTTAAGAGTGGTTTAACCTTTGTTAACTTCCAGTGAATTTCCATGGCTTAGCGGGGATTTGAAACGAGGTCTCCTGTGTCTGAATGGATCCAACTTTATACTGAAGTTTTACAGCCTCACCAGCCTGGAATCCTGATGAAGCTTGCTTTGGGTTGGTCCATAAACGTTGCGCTAAGCAAGTTGTAGATCCCTTTTGACCCCGGACGGCGATGCACAGCAGGCACAGGGGTGAGATCTCGGTGTCGTGAGGCTCAGCTTGCGCTGTGCAATTATTAAGTCATGTTTGCAGCATCCTGCACAAAAGCTGATCGTGTGCACAGAGCTGCCTGTGAGGCATTTTCTGTTGGCACAGAATACTGGGCAAATCTTCCTTGAATCGCCTTATCTTCCTCCCCTCCTTCATACCAGCTTTTGGAGATTCAGTGATGCCAAAAACATTTGTGGGCTTTGGAGCAAACCTAAAAAAGCTTCCAGGATCGGCAAGACTGCCAGGGTGGATGTTGCAGGCGATGGTCTCCCGTGAAGGAAATTCTAAATCAAAGGGGAATAAGTGAACTTCTTACTTTAAGAATCTTGAGACGGGCCTGCGGCTTTTAAATTTGTTTTTAGCATTGATTTTAGGCCTGCGGCTTTTTAATTTGTTTTTAGCATTGATTTTATTACCCATTTTAACATGATACTTGTTTAATTATTTTTTTAATATTTGCATGCTCACTGTTTTCAGCTTTTGTGAGTTCTTTTAATGACATGAGCCACCTGGGGTCTTTTTGAGGTAAAAATACTATAAACAAACAAACAGATCAGTTAGCCTTGCCAGTTGCAGGCCATCGTTCTGTACATCATTTTCACAAACCTTGTGTTCCAAATCAGGAAAGAATTTACTTTTTAACATCAAAAGTGCTCCCATGAAGGACACCACTTGAATTGTTGGAAGAGATTAGCATCAAGAACAATGCCGTGTTCTGCGCATAATAATCCTGGGCTCCAAAATTGAATTACCCCTACACTCCAGTGTCGTGCAATGTTTAGACTGCCGTGTGGCTGGCGGATTAAAAGATCTCTGGCAAAATGTAAGAAGGACTAAAAGGAGGTGAAACTCTGAGAATTGGCTTCTATGGGATGGCAGTTCTGAAAAGACCAATAGGAAACACTTCTTCACATGGTGCTTAATGAATTTCTAAAATCTCTTGCCGTAACAAGGTGGTAAAGCTAGTACAGTGGTGCCTCGCTTAACGGGCGCTCCGTTTAGCGACGAAACCGCATAGCGATTAACTTTTTGCGATCGCAAAAGCGATCACATTGCGATGTTTCCTATGGGGTTTTTTCGCTTTGCGATGATCGGTTCCCTGTTTCGCTTACCGATCATCGTAAAGCAATGATTTTTTAACAGCTGATCAGCGGTTCCAAAATGGCCGCCGGGCAAAAAAAAAATATGGCTGCCCGCTGTATTTTCATGCGGATTCCTCTCTTTAGAGGCAGCAAAAATGGCCGCCGTATGGAGTATCTTCGCTTTAAGGTCAGTTTTTTGCCCATAGGAACGCATTAAATAGGTTTTAATGTGTTTCTATGGGCTTTTAAAAATAGCATAGTGACGAAATCGCTTAGCAGCAATTTTTGCTGCACGGATTAACGTTGCTATGCGAGGCACCACTGTAATCTGTAGGTTTAAAAAATGACATCTATGCAGCGTCAGTCAACAGCGATCAACTAGGAAGAACTAAACAGAATATTCCCCATTGGATGCAAGAATCCCCAGCCGTTGAAGACCACAGGGAAGCACCGTCACCTCCAGAAAAATGACTGCTGAATTTGGCAGACCTCTGGTCTAAATGGATCCAGGAACACCCCCCCCCCCCTTCAACTTGGATTTGGCCTCCTTAACCTTGGGCTGATCTTTTCATAAATTAACTTTTGCCC